CCAACCCGCCGCCAACGTTCATACTCCCTCCCCATCTCTCCCTGTCTCTTTTGATTGTCTCTGCTGTCGGTTACTTGACGTCAACATCTGCCTTTCCATCTCTTCATTTTCTTGAGTCACGTTAGACTGTCTTCACACACACACACACGCACGCACGCACACACACGCACGCACACAAGCACGCTGCATTTGCCGAGCGCGTGCAGTCCCATCACACCACACCACATCAAAAGCACGCCGCTGCCACACAAGCCCGTTACTTGCTGCCAACTGCCACCCGTTTCCTCCTTGCCTCGCTCGGTCGTTTGCACGTTGCTTTCCCTCGTGTGCATTCATTCGTGGCCACAGTTACCGTTCCGACCAACCATCTCTCCCCCCTCCCTCCCTGAACACGCGCCTGCTTTTTCTTGTGCATGTGCCAAGTTTTGATACCCACTTGCTCCTTTCATTTCCTTTCCCGTCGTGATTGTTGCTGTGACGCCTGGTTCTCCTTTCTCTCCACCTCCCCTTCACGCAGCGTGTGCCCAGCAGATAGTCTTGTTTCTCGGCCACTTTTGCTGCCACCCCTGCTTCACGTGCACAGCGCACACAACACCACACCGTGCAGTGCACACCCCCAACACTTGCCAACCCCTTCCACCATTCGCTCCCACACGCTCGCCATGGACGCACGTGCTTTTGCACACCGAGCTGCGCTGGACGGCGACGTGGACACCTTGAAGATGCTGGCCAACACAGACACCTCCGCCCTGATGGCGCCGACAGACACGGGCATGACCCCGTTCCTCACCTGCTGCGCCACGGGCCAGCTTGCCGCCGCCCAGTGGTTTGTGACACAAGGGTTTGCCACCATTGACGAGTGCGAGCACACCGTCAACGCAACCGGGCTGCACCTCGCGGCGGCCCGCAACCACCACGCCGTGGTGGAGTGGCTGCTCAGCGCAGCGCCCCACCTCGTCGACGTGCGCACCAAGGAGAACGCCACGCCACTGCGCATTGCCGCAGAGCTCGGCTCCCGCGAGCTCGTCTCCCTCCTGCTCCACTTCCACGCAGACCCGACCATCTCCGACAGCCAGGGCCTGACGCCGCTCGCGGTGGCCGTCAACGCGGGCCACCAAGGGGTCGCCTCCCTCCTCCAGCAGGCATTGCAGGGGCAGCGCGTTCCCGTCATCTCGCCACCAACCGCCACCGCCGGCAGCAGCAGCTCCAACGACAGCAGGAGCGCCTACCACGGCTCAGCACCCGCCGCCACCAGCAGCACCAGCGGTGAAGCCGTTGACCCCGCGAGCGGCGGTGCGGAGGGCGACGCGAGGGACGGGCGGCCAACAACACCGCAGTCGCCAAAGCTGCGGCGGCTGAGCGAGGACACGGGCATCCAGCAGATCCTGGACACGATCAGCCCGGGCAACTACGCGCTCTTCTCCCTGGAGCGCCTCAAGGAGACGCTGGAGGACAACGTGGCCATGAGCGGGCCCGCAACGTCAACTACCAGCAGCAGCGTCGCCACCGACGTGCCCTCCTCCCTCACGACAACGCCACCGCCGCCACCAGCAACACACGAGCAGCAACAGCAGCACTCACGTGTGATGTTCTCGATGGGTGCACCGTCCACGGCTGCCCCGACGCCACTCGTTTCCTCGTCATCGTCGGCACCAGCCACGGCAACCTCGGAATCGTTGTCGCTGTTCTTCCGCTCGGCGCTCAAGACCGAGCCCGAGCCCGAGCCCTCCGCCTCCGCCACACAGCCGCCATTCCAAACAGCCTCCGCAACTACTACTACTACAACAGCAACAGCAACAGCGACAGCGATAGGGTCGACGGCGCGCGCCCCGCTGCCGACGCTCAAGTCGCCGCTGCTTCGCATCAACGACGAGGACGACGAGGCCACGCGTACACACCCGCACGGCAGCGACGCGATGACGATGACGAGCGGCAACCCGCTCATGCGCAGCATCACGGACGACCTGCGCTCCATGGACAGCGACCAGTCGATTGAGTTCTCCGTGGACTCGGACTGGGCGTCAGACACGTCCTCCGTGTACTCGCCGCACGACCCATCGGCGACCACAGGCAGCACCAGCGGCAGCACGAGGGCAAGCACCACAAACATCGGCGCCATGCTACCTCGCACGGGGAGCCGGCAGGGCAGCTCGACAAACCTGACGGTGCCTGCAAGCACGGGACGCGGCGGCTCGCGGCGCGGGGGCGGCCGTCGTGGGCGCTCGCACATCTGCCCGCACTGCCACAAGAACTTCAGCTGCAGCAGCAACCTGAAGCGCCACGTGCGCGTACACACAGGCGACAAGCCGTACCCGTGCGAGGTGTGCGAGAAGACGTTCACCAACAGCAGCAACCGACGCAAGCACGAGCGGTCATGCCTGAACAAGCTCGTTCGCACGGGCGCCATCCGAAAGCTGCGGGTGACGCAGGAGTTTGCCGACTACCACCGCTCCCTTCTGGCAGGCCTCGACCTGCCCATGCAGATCATCCCTAATCCAACACCCGCTGAGCAGCAGCAACACGAGCAACACCAACAACCGCACCAACAACAGCACCCACAGCAGCCACAGCAGCAGCACCAACAACAGCGGCAGTCGACGCCAACAACGTCTGCCCCATCGTCGGCGCGCCTACCGAGCTCCCACCACCACCAACAGCAGCAGCAAGAACAACAACAACAACAACAACAGCACCAACACCAACAACAGCAGCAACAACAGCAGCAGCAGCAGCGCCACGTGAGCCAGAGCGGCATGCCGTCGCTGCACGTGTCAACGGCGTCCCCTGCGCTGTCGCCGTTTTCGCCGGGAGGGCCCTCATCCTCCATGCTCTCCCCGTCCTCCCCCTTCAATCTCCCCACCACGCCACGCAACGACGCCATGTCGCCACACAGTGCGTGGTTCACGGCGCAGTCGCCCATGCAGCAGGTGCTCAGCCCAGGCGTGGCCAGTGCCACCAGTGCCACCAGCCCCATGCTGGGCGTACCGGGCACACCCAGCGCAACCGCTCCCGTTGCCTACAGCACGAACAACGGCACGAGCGGTGGTGGCGGCGGTCGGGTGGTGGCTGGTGGCCGTACACCGGGGAACAGGGGCGGTGGTGATGCAGACATGTCGCAGTTCATCGCAGACTGGGTGGACTCCATCTTCGCGCAGCCAACGCAATCCTGGTGACACCACCACAGGGTGGTGCATTTGGACGGGGAGAAAGTTGGTTTGTGTTGGTTGCTTGGTTGCTTAGTTGCTTGGTTGGTTGATAGCGTATGGGGTGGTGACGGTGCTGATGATGATGACTCGAGTGAATAGTGAGACGAGATGTGCCATATGTTCTGCCTGACTCTTTTTGAGACTGTACACACCTCCCGAGGTTGCTGTCATTGTCGCTATCGCATTGTTTGTTCGTATGTTTATGCGTCGTTTGTCCTCCTTGTTACCTGCGTGTTGTTGGGTTGCGCATGCCGAATACAGCGACAACCATGTCATGCATGCCCGTTCGTTTAGCTGTCTTGCTGTCTTGTGTTTCGTGACCCCTCTTCGCCCCTTTGGCTGTCACATGGTGATGGATGGGGCTTGGTCGGTAATTCTTTTTCATGTGTCAGTGGTTTGGAATGTACATGTGTGGCTGTATGCAGACGGCGTGTGTGTGTTTGCTTGTATGGTGATGGCCTGTGCATGTACTCTTTCTGTGTATTGTGACCACCGCGTGCAAGTGCTGCATGCGCGCTTCCTTAAGGCACCCTGTTCTTGCGCTTTGTTCGTTCTCTTGAGATTAGAAGATACACCGACACGAACGACAAAAAGGGTGGGGGGGGGGGGAAGACGAAGGGGGACGACTGACTGGGACCAGGAAACAAGTGAGGGGAAATGGATGAAAATACACGCGCACACGAAATATGCACGCCATGCTTGCAGGCAAGCAAGCCTGGGCAGCACGCTGCCATGAACGATGGGAGAGTTCCTGCACCACGTTCGTCGTTGCGTCATGCCTGTGGGTGTCTCAGAGCGACCAGAAGCCAAACATGTACAGTGCCCGAATCCTCACGAGGTCGCGCGCCATCTGAATGGCGTCCAGCAACGGGTCCACTTTCGACCCTGCAGCAGTTGCAGTTGTAGAGGAGAGGAGGGGTGAAAGGATGAAGGTGGAAGAGGTGGAGGGGAGGGGGGTGAAAGGATGAAGGTGGAAGAGGTGGAGGGGAGGGGGTGAAAGGATGGAGGTGGAAGAGGTGGAGGGGAGGGGGGTGAAAGGATGAAGGTGGAAGAGGTGGAGGGGAGGGGGTGAGTGTGAGGCAGGCGAGAGGAGGGGAGAGGGCGACGCAAATGACGCCTTGATGACGCGTCACGTGTCGGCAACTAACAATCCACACACACACACATGATCACACAGACACACACACACACACACACACATAAACACACACGCGACCACGTGAGCAGACGAGGAAGACGCACCGTCGACCTCCTTCCAGTTGACGGCGACCTCCGCTGCCGGGAATCCGAGCCGCTGCGCCATGTACAGCAGCTCCACGTCAAACGCCCTGAGCGGGGAGCGGGGCAGAGGGGGGCAGGGAGACGTATGAGCAACACATGCACGCATGACCAACACACACACAGCAGACACGCGCAACAGCAATGGCACGCTGCGGTGGTGGGTGTGTGCACGTGTAATGCGATGTGCACAATTCAACACAGCAGAGCAAGCACAATCAAGCACAGCATAATCAACAACAGACAACGCAGCCTTCCCTTTCTCACCATCGTTCAATGTGCATGCGGGTGAAGAGCGCCTTGGCCGTCTTGCGGGTAAACAGCTTGAAGCCGCACTGGTGTTGCAATCGAATACACGAACGAACAAACAACAGGCCCACGTGCACGAGGCGGGGGGGGGGGAGGGAGAGAGGGAGGGGATTTTTGGAAAGTGAGCTGCAAACGACATAAGCGCACGGAGAAAGACGCGTGTCCACAACGCGCATGTGCACCACACAACGCGCATGTGCATCACACAACACGCATGTGCACCACACAACACGCCCCCAGCCCCAACCTGTGTGTCCTTGATGCCCTTGACGCAGAGGAAGGAGACGAGAAAGTGGAATCCAAACATGAGGACCGTGCGGAAAACCGAGCGCGACGCCACTGCTTCGTCAACCAGATGCGCGCGCGAGCCAACAACAACCGCATTCCCACCCTGTCGCGCGCGTAGTGTACAATGAGGAGGGAAGAGGGGTTGTGGATGAACTGAGTGAGCTGCAAGAGTGACACACACACACACATGGGAAAAAGCGCACACATGCACGAACACAGGAAATGAAAAGAGCGCGCGCACACATACACACACATACACGAACACATACACGAACACACACATACTAGCCTGCTGGATGTCGTTGAGTTTGTTCTGCAAGCGGGGGAGATCGCGGATATCCGTGGCAGCATCTGCATCTGCCATGAGAAGTGTCCGCCCACGTGCACTCAACATCCCCTAGCGTTGAAGCAGGCACCAGGGATTGCGGGGGGGGGGACACAAGCGCACCATAAGCGGGTGATGATGATGATGATGATGATGATGATGATGATGATGATGATGATGATGATGATGATGATGATGATGATGATGATGATGATGATGATGATGATGATGATGATGATGATGATGATGATGATGATGATGATGATGATGAC